CGGGATTTCCGCCGAATCCTTGAGTCAGAAGGTGTCACGAGTTGGCTAACCTGGAGGGTAAGCTGGAACTTGATGTTTATGGCATTGGCCAATTGGCCAAGAGACCGGACTTTTTGGACTCCGGGCACAGCTGTCTTTGTCTGGCACTTGGGTGGGGCTGGTACTACACATGCTGATGCTTGCAACCAACTGTTTGAGGCGCCTTTTCAGGATATAAGGGACACCTTGACAGCCTTTCGGCGTTCCTCCTGCTGCAAGCAGGATCACTGTCCGGAAGTGACTTGTCCATAGTGAGCTAGCTTTCGGCCACCAAGCAAGCACGCACAGAAGTGCATCGAAGCGGAAGGACTGCCCTTCAGGCCAACCCAACAAGGCATTTCATCACAAATACAGTTGAAGGCAAGTACCCGGAGTCTGCTACAATCGCAAATGCCAACAGGCAGAACATCATTCACGCAACAAACACGCAATTCGATGGCATCCAATTCGAACCCTGCACGATCTCGTTGTTCAAAGGGCTGCCGCTGTCGCGGTAAGACCGCCAACCTTGAACGAGATCCAGCCCGACCGTTGCATGAAAAGGCGTCCGCAAACCTTGAGTCAAGGGAAAGGACCTGCAATCACAGCTAGAGTGCTTCTGAATGCATGCTGCAAGACCATGCAACCGAAAAGCTTTGAACGACCAAGGGCAAGCTGTCCAGCGGTCATGCCAGTGAGCCTGCCACTGGCAAATTCGACAACACTAGTCAACATGAGCCAAATGCAAATGTTTCATGAGCTGAATCCCTTGATGCACGTGCGCTTGTAAAGTTGCCCTCTTGCAGCGCGGCAGCCTTGGCGCCATGGTCGCTACAGATGAGACGCCCGAGGAGTTCCTTTGCCCGATTATGCAGGAGCATTGAAGCCGAAATTCTCGGAGGCATGCAATGGGTTTGTGTCAAAATAGAGCTACCCGCCCCTGCCCTGCCCCCCCATGCACAGGGCCGCCCAGCATGCATCAGGATGGTCAGAACGATGAATTGCAAGCTGTGTTCGAGCAAAGGCCTAGGCCCCACGATGCAATCGCTGCGGTTGCGACTTGTTCTGCTGCCTTGGGTAGAAAGAAACCTTCGCAGAGACCCCTGAGAAGCTCCGACCAAAGATGATTGCACTTTCTGGTGCCGGTGATTCGAGAGTCAATCACGGAGGAAACATACAAGGAGTTGAAGTTTCGGTGCATGCTGTAGAAAGGGTTGGATGCTGGAAAACTTTCTGGGTGGTATGATTGGTGCAGTTGATCGATTTAGTGCAACCGTAGGCATGAGGGGTGGGAAGGTGATTCAAAGCACATGGGGGCAGACCTTTCCAAACGGCTGAAAGCAACTAGAGGGCTGTAAACGCTTCGGTAGCATGTTTGAGCACCGAGGTCAGGATGAAGTCGGCCGTATCTTCATGATCCTAACTCAGTGGTCAACTGGACTCTTTCACCCAGTGCTCTGATGAAATCTTCCATTTGCTCAAATCAGAAATCAATATGTTCTATTTTCGTTTTTTGGCTTTAAACGGAATCTATCACTACTGGAATATGTTAGCTTTTCCAGGGGGCTTAAGCAAACGGAGTTCACTCAATTCTTGTTGAAAGGCATCATTGAAGCCTTCCAAGCGCCACAGGATGTCATGGAGGATCCAGTGGTGGCTGCAGACGGGGCCTCCTACGAGCGCCGGGCCATCGAACAATGGCTGAGCAACGGCCTCTAGGCCAACGTTGCGGAGGGTCTGACCATTGACAACTGATGTTGGCCTAATGCGCCACTGTCACTGCGTGGGGATAAGCTGAAGCTATTTTTTTTCTACTCCACACAACCCATAGTTTTTTTCGTGCAAGCCGGAGGGATCCTGATGGATTAGGAGCAACGCGAGTGGGGAAATGGTGACATACCAGGCACTCGGCACTCCTTTCGCTCCTAGGCCACTGCACGAGTCCACTCACGAATCTGCCGCTGAGCCACGCGCCTCGGACCACTCGTTTTTTGGTCTAAAAGGATGTGGGATCACCAGCAGGAAGCGGATCACTCGTGAGCAAAGCACCTTATCTGTGATTTGCTGATATCTTCGTTTTGGGCCAGGGGCATGCCCCAAAGAACACTGACCGATCTTATTAATGGCTTGAGACAAGCTTGTCAAGGGGCATGCGGGTTCCTTGTTTTTAAGGAGATCCTGCTTCCCAACAACAATTTGCGGAGCGCCATTCAGGACTCGCTGCGGCGTGCAGTGTGCCTGTTGGTTTTGCAAGTTGTTCCTTCTTGTTCAAGCGCAGTTGTTGTTGTTTGAGGACCACTTCCTCACCGCATGCTCTCTATATGCTCATGGGGTCGCAGGGCCTCCACTGCTGTCTTCGTCCAAATTGACTCCGCCCTTTCCGGCCACAAAAAGACAGACACGATCGCCATTTGTGTTCCTTCACCACGAGCTTAGTTTATTATGGAATCGGGCAAGGCAGTTGATTGATGTTACACGTATTTCATGGCTTTGCACTCCTCAAGAAATAAGTTTGAACTGTGTGCTGTCTAGCTTATGACATGCAGGTGCGTGACCCCTGGTTCCATTGAATTCAAAAAGGGCTTTGCGCTGCTTTGTTTTCCAGATTGCCGGAAGTCACGTCTTGTCCTAGCCAATGGGAATTCCTGCCCCCCCCCCCTTCGCACTCAGCTTCGGCGAGGGGTGGGGGCCTTGCTGCTCCAACACGCCTCTATCCAGTCCAGCCATTTTGCAATTCCATTTGAAAGTCGATGGAGAGAAGAGTGGAAGAGGGTTGATCCAGGTGAAGGCTCCTGAATTAGACCAATCTGATAGTTGGAGAGTGCCAGTTGGTAGATTGGTCTCATTCGTAGGGCTTCATTCATCTCAACTTGTGCCAACTGGATTTGGTCCATCAGTACTGAGCCCTTTTGGTATCAGAGAGAATCAACGGCCAGGAGCTTCTCCGTTCTTGGCCGGAGGAGCAAAGGCATGAGCTGGAGCGGCGCTGGCGTGAGCGAAGGCTACCAGGCGGGAGGGCCTCGAGGGCCTCGAGGGGCCTGGGTCCAGAGATCCATGGAGTTGAGTGGGTGGGCTTGGTGGCTGGCAGCTTGCTAATCAACAACGGATGTTTCAGCGTTGACTGGCTGGCTCACGTCGATCGAGTGGCACCAACAGCGTTTTGCAAGATAACGCCATCCCATCAACGAAATTGACTTAAAGAGGTCATGCAATGCTTGTGTCATTGAGGTCAGCGAAGGCTTCCTTTTGGCGTTGTCCCGCCACACGTACTGAGGGACACGCCACGGTAAACCTGTCTCAACATCCAGAGTCGGATGCCCCGGATCAAGTCATGTGCCGTGTTAATTCCTGTCAGGCAGCTTTTTACTTCAAGATGGCTACGATTGGCCTGCCTCCTTCAATCTTGGCTCTTCGATCAAGGCCATCAAGACCACAACAGCCTTGCATTGAAAGATGTTCAACCAGGTCCATGGCTGTGTCGACTCTTAGTTTGCACATCGCGTGAGTGCTGTGGTGTGCCGTTTCAAAGGCTGCAGTGGGGTTGAATTGAGCGCAAGCCGTGTGAACGGCTGCCCCACCTCATATCTGCGTCCTGGCAGGGGCCAAATCCCACGTCTTGCCACTGGAGGTGATGCAGGACGGCCCGCGGGACCCATCCGTCCAGTCACATCCAGTCACTTGTTGCCATGAGGTCAATCATTTTCAACACAGTTGTCCATTCTACTCTGTGCAAGGGCATGACCGACAAAGCGCGGAATCTCTCAGGCAACGACCAACTCTGGGTACTGCAACCAGAAGCTTCCTCCCACCACTCCCACAAATCTCAGCGCTGCAACGTTGGTTGGCCCGTAAAGCGAAAGCCTATACAGACATGCCAGATGATTGCATTCCAAAGAACGGCAACAATCATGTTCATTCCCTCCTGGACGTTTCACCTCTATGTCGAAGGCATGGTGAGCGGACGCAAGGGAGAGGTGTGAACGTTGGAATGCGGGAGGGGTGTGAAGCAGTCGAAGGGACTCTTGACATCCACCATTGTTTGGGGTGTCCAGAAAGCGGCAAACTCACCTTTTGGGAAGAGACATGCCACAACTCGTGGTTTCTCCGCCGTTGTTGAGCCCATGCCAGTAGCAGTGGTCATGGTATAAACCGATTCAATCTGAGTCCTTGCATCCACAGGTAAGTTGATGTTTTAGTCAGGCACTGTTTGTTGGCTGACAGCCACAAATGCCTTTGCAACATCCAAAAAAGGAGGCAGACTCGGCATACAGACATCCACCGAAAGCCATGCCAGGACAGTCATCCAGCGATGCTTCTGCTTTCGCTGAACCGCCGACTAGCTTTCATGTGAGCTCCAATTGAAGGGTGCGAGTGATGCAACACCAATATGCAATTTTTCGCCACATGATCACTGGTATGAGAACGGGGAGGACCAAATATACGATGGCTGTTCTGCATAGGACTCTGTACTTGTAGGACACTGAAAGGTGCGATCTTGATCGCGTGGCAAGCGCCCTCCAGGTTTTCCAGGCATGTCAGATAAAGCTTGCTGCGCGCTCACTGGCCGGGACTTGCACGCGAGGGCCGGCCATTGTGACGGATTTTGTGTTGCCCCCAGAAATGTCATATGGTGTATCCCAGCGAGGTCTGTCCACCAAAAAGTATTGCTGCTAAGAGAAACTTTGCAGCCAGCAAGCCTTGCTCCCTCAACAGAACACCATCATACCGCTTGGCCATACATGTCTTTGGGTGAAGCAGCTCTTGCGAATAACTGGATGAACAATCAGTGACATGTTTCAGTTTCATAGCTCACAGCCTTGCTTCGGGTCATGGTCCGTTTAGCATTTTGACGGACCCGCCGCAGGCTCAAGCCGAGCACTGTTCCTTTTGAGAGAGCCCAGGGTGTGTTGCATCAAACGTCAAGCTCAAAGCATTCGCCCAATTTCCTTTCAACAAGAAAGACAATCTTCGCATGCGAGGTGGCCGTTCCTTCCCTCGGTTCTCATGTAGAAATGGAGTCCATCGAGCCCATGGAAGACCCCAAGCCGCCTGGGCTACGAAGCGAACCGCAGTTCCCTGGGAGACGTCGAAAACAGGGGGCCCGTTTGTGGTCGTTGATGGTCGGCATGGGGCCATGAATCTTAAACCACCTCAAGAGTGGTTGGTAGCAGCTGGATTCTTCAAGACCTCATGGCCCTTTGGATGCTGCGGACTGGGAGGATGAGGGCTTCAATGATGTGAAGCACCGCTCGTTGCGACGCTACCATGATTTGAGCTTCTCAACCTAACCTGTCAAGACAAAAGGCCTGTGTGGCAGTGAGGCGTGTTCGTTTTTGCACGAAGTCAGCGTGCTAGATAGATTCTTTCATATGGTATTGATGTTTGTTAGCACGTCCAATTTGTTGCTTCCACTTAAAGAAGTTTGCTTCACATGCTCCCAGCCTTCCCGCAACACAGCGGCTTGTGTTGCTCGCTGGGACCCGGCAGGTCTTTGAAGAACCCTGTTTGCTTCAGGCACCAGTCTAAACTTGCAAATTTGACAGCTACTTGGTGGAGCTTTAACCTTGCACTTGGGGACAAGCATGTGTATTTTCCCGTTCATCTGCAAGCTGAACTTTTTTTGGCAGAGGGTAACAGCCACGCAGCAAACGGGAGGATTTGTGGAGCTCTTGGTGTGCCTCATCCCAGGCTTGAATTGCACCGCTTGGGCCAGCGCCTGCTCCGCCGGCCGTTGGTGAAGACAGACATCGCCAGGGCCCCGGGGGGATACCATTGGGTGTTTTTTTTTTAGGGACCCCCGTTGTTTTGTGGCATTTTAGGGGAACCAAGGCAACAAACACGATTGTGTGGGTCACAAAAAAAAAAAACGACTGCCCGGAAGTCCCTTAGGATGGTTTGCCGGGCCTTGGGTGCTGCTGGTGTAAACTCAAAACCTTCGCAATAGATTCGACTTCGAGTGTTTAACGGATGGGTACTTTGTGAATCAGGCGAAATTGTGACAAAGTGATGCTTGGCAATGTGCCCGGACACTTTCTGATGAGTGTGGGCAACCGAAGTATGTGTCCAAAAGGTGCTGAGCACCTTGAGCAGCTCCCGCATCTGTCTCCAGCCAGCATTGGAGCATGGGAAGGCAGCTCCAGCGATTCAATCATAGCATCAAAAGTGCTTTTGAATGGCAGAGATGGCGGTAGATTCGCACTGACCTGCAGCATGGCCATAAGGCAAGTTGCACCGATTCATTTGCCAAGGTCTTCACACACCAGCGCCTTGGTGGAATGAGCGCCGGGGCAATATAAATTGACTGGGCAAATCCATGTCGCCTCGATGATGGCATCGTAGAGAAAGGTGCGGGGTCTTTATTCTCCAAAACATATCCTGCAGCAGTCTTGAGCGTCTACCCCTCCCCAGGAATGCATTTGATTGGGTAAGCTTAGTCAGCTGCGGAGGGTGAGTGGAGTTGGTTGCACAAGTTCCATGTTGGCATGGCCGATAGAGTGGCTTCCTGTTGGCGCCACGGCCAAGACAGGTGGCAGTGACAGAGCTGCTTGTTCCTTTCCCTACTTAACAACATTAAACAAGTTGCTCGGACACGCATTCCGCGTGCGTGCAGAGTCCGCGACAAGGTTTGTGAAAGCCAAAGAAAGCGGCACCAAAAGAAAACAGGGTCCGAAATGGACAGTTAGAACTGTAGCAATCATCCCGTGAGTTTGATCAAGTGAAGCCACTGCTATTCGGCCCCAAAGGTGGCCGATTGTGTATAATTTGCAGCCATTGTCAACTGTTGACCCAGTTGTTCATACCGGAAGTCGAAGTTCATGTAAGGGTTTATGCATTTGGCCTTTGACGCCCAGGACATGGGAAGTTGGCATCCAAGCCACTGCAACACTGGCATTTGCAGAGGCGGGATCGACCTTGCAACGCTGGAGGCACTGGATGTAAGCCCTTGAACATTCAGTTGACTTCCCTGCCCAATGGATGCGTTGCTGTCAGTTCACACAGGTCGGCTGATTTCAAGCAGAATTCACGTTGGCAACACATTTCCTGCGGGCTTGGTCGTTTGACATGCAGTGTTTATCAAAGCTACAGTTGGGTGAAAGTAGATGTCACGATTCTCCTTGAACTGAATTAAGTCCCTTTTCCCACCAGGGACTTGTGCCAGCACCAGATTAATCAACCACTGGTTGATTACTCTGGGGGTGTCCCCTTTTTAGTGAGGAATCACAACATTTGGAGGGGAACACCTCCCTAAACTATATTAAACTTAGATCCGTGGTCAAGAGTCAACAGTACTTGAAGCCTGGGCCGTCGCTTCCTTCGAAGTTTGCCCTGAGAACCGGGAAGCCTGCGGGGAGCTATGCAAGACGGTGCAGGAGGCAGAGGAGAGCGCGCTGCACCAGGCGCATCTCTTGCGGCCTGGGTGGGGAAAATAGCCAAGTCACGTGTCCAAACCAAAGGGAATGGGTAACTTTATCTTTTCCCCCGACCCGCTATTTAGCACCCAGGAAAAGAAGTAACGGGGCTCGCAAATTGAATTGATGTCCTTAGCCTTGTTTTGCTCGGGCTTCTTGAATTGGTATCCTTGCAAACTAGATTGTTCAAATTCAATTAGGGGCTCTGAGGAACTAGAGCTTTAGTTCCAGCTTTGTGCTCAGCCAGCCGAACCATTGAAAGCGCAGGCCCTCATGGCACTCGTGACACTCGTGGCACTCATGGCGCTCACCCACAGGAAATGATTGCGCGCTCGCTTCCTTTTGTTGGGCTGCAATGAAAGATGTCAGCTTTACAGCAGGATAGTGTCTTCCCCGATTCCAGCTGAGCCAGTCGGGGCAGAGCTTTGTTCAAGCAGCTCCTTTTGCAAGATCCACAGGGATGGCTCAAGTAAAACGGGCTTTCTGGACTTGGATCGCCTTCTGCTTTAAGACAGCTGACAGGATGAGGCTACCCTAACTCAAAACAGCGGGCCCTTCTCCAAGAGGATGCTAGTCTTCCAGGCGGTTTACACACTGTGTTGGCTCGTTTGGTTGCATTCATTTTTTCGGAGGCGCTTCTGATCTACGAGGATGAGCTCAAGGAGCTCATCAAAAAGCATCCGCAGCCTTTTCTGCCCACCCCCAAGGCACGCAAAGCCTAGCGGAGCGCTTCATTGTGAAAAGCGGGTTGGCATAATGCTGCAGGCTTGCAGGTCTGTCAGATGAATGCCATCCTACTTGCCCTTGACATGATCCTAGCTTATGCTGATGCTGTAAGTATCCTTTTGTTACCTTTCTGGGTCGGTCCCGTTCCTTCGACCAACAAGCCCCAGCACTTGGCCCCACCCCGCTACCGGGCGGCCAGGCCAGAGGAACCAAAAGAGAAGGCCGGACCTCAGCTGGCCGCAGACACTTGTGGCGGAATGAGCTTTCGAGGATTAAAAGCAAGGGCCGAGAGAGAGTTAAGCTCAAAATTACCTTTGGCTACTTAGGAGATCCCCTTTTGGAGAAGGAGAAGGGTATATAATGTTTGGCTACTTCCGTTTCAGAAAGCCATCACTGACAGGGGGCGGCATCGTATTGAGTATGGCATAGCCTCGGCCCCGTGTTCCATCAGAGTTGCTTAGGCCTTTCACATGGGGAACAGTTCCGCCATCTCAGCCGTTTGGAAGCATTGCTCAAAGATTGAAGGATGAAGTGGGTCAAGATTACTTTGAGCCATACACGAGAGGAAAGCGTGCACAGCATGGATGCCCATACAATGCAGGGCTTCATGTTCAAGTGGCCTGGCTCTCACGCAATCCATGCACACGGGTTCAGTGTTGGGGGACTTTTCGTTGTTATCAGTATATTTATCAGGGGCTCCTTGTTCACTCCAACTGTTGGCGATAGGTTTGTGTGGATATGTTTGCACACAATGATCTTAGTGTTTGTTGGCATCTGACGCATGGAATCCTGCTTTTTGGAAAAGAAACAGCCGCTTCAAGAGGTGGGCTTGGATATCAGTGTTTGAGGTGCGGGCTGATTGTGGGCATCGGCAATGGCTATTCTTGATTGGTTATCGTCAGAAGAGTGCTGGAGCACCCCACGCCCAACGGCTTCTGGTAAATGCGGCTCGCAGGCTCCTGATACATCCAGAAATGCACTTAACTTTGGTCATTGATCAGTCATATGGCGTCATATGTTGGTTGTTAGTCATCATTGGCGTGCCAACGTTCCAGTTCGACAAGTTGGATGTGTTTTTTGCATGTTGTTTCCCGGGTGTTTTCCTCCGCTGCAAGCACCGTCATGTCTCGGGTCTCTTGCCTGTAGCATGTCTAATTGCGCATTTTGCGTGTTGCAATTTTAACTCCTTCCTTTGTGTTTTTGGGGGCATGTACTTTTATCATAGCAGTTTGTAGTACGCCAATAGCCAACGCGGTATTTTGGCTCAAGTTTTATTCCGTCGACTCGATCTGCCATTGCCGGCAAAAGCGCCTTCAGCGGCGCCGTCCTGGTGCGTGGGTGGTTGTCCCACGCCCCAGGCCACGGCGGCTGGGTGTTCTTGGGTGTGGGTCAGGTTTGGGTTGGGAATTGCATTGTTGCTGCTGCTCCGCTTTCGCTTGGTTAATTGCTTTGCTTGCTTGCTTGCTGCGCTTGCTTGGTTGGCTGCGCTGGTCCCCTTTCCTGTTTGGGTTTTGCGGTTAAACAGGATCTCCCGTTTGTTATCTGTGTGGTTCATTGCCAGCCGAGGGCACCACTTTGCCCTTGGGACTGGGGGGCTTAAACTGTCTCTTCTTGTTGGTGGGTTAGGGCCTGTTTATTCTCTCCCGAAATACTGTTTCAAACCCTTTCGCAGGTTATCAGCCGTAGGATCCGTCCTCGGTTGGCACCGCGAACCCCTTTTAATAATAACCCTGCAGGTACCGTAGGTCTCTGTAGGCGTCATGTCGGGAATCACTGAGGACGGACCTCATGTGGTGACCGACGAATGGGTTCTCGGCCAGGCCGGAATCTTGGACGTTGTGAATGACGACCAAGTGCCCGGACAGCCGATGTTTTCCGGTCCTGACTTTTTGTCGGACCACACTTTTTCAGAAGCAATGCCTTCAGAGAGATCCAGTGCTACTCGCACTGATGATCTATCGTCTAATGCCTCAAGAGCTAATCGCTCTCAGGGTCATGGGTCTAATCGTCCTGGCCATGATGATTCCGTCTCAGGACGTGATGATGACGAGCCCGGTATTGCACCTGGAGCTCAATCCTCATCTTTCCCCGAGCTGATGAATATTGGTCAGTCCGAAATTCGTGACTCCCGAGGCAGCAGTAGACCTGTGCCAACCAGTAGCATAGCTTTTCAAGTGCTCGGTAATCCCGAACCTGGTACATCCAGTGGAGTTGCATTTGACGTTCATCTGCCGACCGAATCCGGTGGGCTCGATTGGAGAGCCTCATGGCCCAACGACGGAAACATTTTTGGTATGGATTTTGCCGCATGGATGCCAGGGCCACCCGCCCCGTCATCTTTCCCGCAATTCCAAAGCCCAAAACGGGCTGCTGGAAGCGATGAATTCATGCTACCTTTGTCGATTGAGAATCTCAATCCTGACGTGGCCAGCCGTAACGTCAGGCCAAGACCGTCGGTAAACCCGACCATGAGGAACATGTCCCCTCCCCCAGGACTTTCAGGATAGATTGGATTTGCATCCCAGTCCAACCCCAAGCAAACGATCAAGGTCAAATTCGACTGGATCGCATAGGGCAAGGGGGATGGATCGGGAAACTGCCCACAGGGGCAACCCCAATACGCGGGACTCAGGACGCGGTCGATCAGGTGATCCAGCGTCGATCATTGGTAGAGACCCGTTAAACGCGGACACACTCGTTAACGTGCTTGATGGGATCGAAGCATTCCAGGAGGAATTTAATAGGTTGAGTGGCTTGAACGCGCAAGGTGTTCGCCCTACGCCCAACGCGGCTTCCGTTTTCGCTCTGGATAACATGGACGGAGCTAATGTTCCGATAGAATCTGAGTCCATGATGGCATCAAGTTCTAGTCGCAATCATACCATCAGTAATGCGACTGATATTGAATCGATGTCTGAGTCTAGAGTGTCCAATGCGACCGACTTGAATGACATTGTTATTGCTGACTCGAGACCTGATGTTCCTATGCGAACGGATAGGCCTGTTGTTCCTAAACTGTCCGTGGTCAAAGGCCTGGGCATGACACAACCCTCTGCGGTTCGTGATGCTAGGAGATCTGCTCCGTATCAGAGTCAATCTCCTAATCGGAGTGAGTTCCCACGGCCATCAACGGCCGTGCAGGATGATTTCAGAACTCCTCCGAGATCTAATCCAATCATGGTTGATTTGTCCACTCCTCGAGATCGCGGATCAGGATTTGGTCCTGCGAGTGAGGAGCAACCCAACGAGGTTGCTGATCTTGTAACAGCCCTTGAAAGAGGGAGAGTGGACTCTTCGGTAAGTGCGATCATTCATCGCCTGGTTGCTAAGGTCGAAGACCTTGGGCGTAGGAATGATAGAAGTGATCAATGCATCAAGCAGCTCTCCACTGAGGTTAACTCGTGGAGGGCCAAATACGACCAATGCGTCCATGTGAGTAGCACGTGTACGCAGGCTGCGAACGCGGCCATGCAGCTGTCACAAGGGACTAAGGACATCGTGACCGAGCTTGGCCAACGCGTCAAGATCGTTTCCAATCGCATGATAAGCATAGGCGATGCCCTAAATGAGCGAGCCAGCTATGATGATGTTGCTCGCTCCATCACCCAGGTTCAAACTGTTTTTGAATCTCTTTCTGATCGAGTAACCGGGCTTATAGCTCGTGTTGATATGATCGAGAGATCTCTAGTGGAGAGCCAATCCAACCATCCTGCGATTGGTGGAGTAAACCTCAAAATCGAGGACCTGTCCACTAGGGTATGTCAGATTGATAGGATGATGCAAGATGTCGAACAACGCTGGACCAATAATAGGGACGGCATAAAGTGGGTTAAAGACCAACTTTATGAGACACAAGCCAACCTTGAGATAAAGTCAAGGGACTGCAAATCCTACATGGACAAGCAAAATACTCACAACATGGCCGTTTCGACTACGCTCAACAGTAAGCTCGAGCAAATGCTCGAGGTGCTGGGTAATACGGCCCAGAGAATTAGCTCCCTCGAGTCAAGGCACTCGAACCAGGCCTCAAGTAGTGGATTGAACGATCACGCAGGAGGAAGGCGTGCCGCATCCCGTACTCCGGATAAGCGGCCACCTCCACCTGGCCCTCCTGATGATGATCCTCCACCACCTCCTCCTCCAGATTGGCAAAGCCCAGGAGGAGGGGGGAAGAAGAGTGCCGCCGGTGGGAACCCTGGCAACCCTGGTAAACCCAGATGTAAGTACGTAGGTGATGGATATAATCATCTCATGGCTGAGTTTCACTGCAAGGGATGCAGAGGTGATATTTGTGAGTATTGTTTCTCGTTTAAAGAGAACCTGTGTGAAGAATGTTCCCGTAACGGACCCCGATGCGGAGTCTGTAGGGAGAGCTCGTTCCTGACCACGGGAATTGAGTGTCAGTTTTGTAAGACCTACTACTGCACCAGACATTCTGCCGGGCAGGACGACTACAGGAGATTTGGATTTGTCCAGGGTCCCTGTTGTCTTGCGTGCCTTAGGGACGAAACTAGGAGAAGAAGGAATCCCGATGGTAACCGTGTCAGGAATAGATCGCCTGGAGGCGTACTAGAGACGAACCCGACGCGGTCGTTCTCGCCGCCTCTGCGGCCACCCGTTGACAGATTCCGTGACACTCCAACTGGGGGTCAACCCAACGCGGCTGACCTTCAGAGTCCTCCGAAGGCTACGCAACCCGTGCCCCTGGATAAACGTGAAACCGGATATTATCCAGGGTTTGATCCCAACGGTACAAGGCCGAAGGATCCTTCAGGCCTTGAGCCGCCGACCATGCGTGGCCCCGATCCTCCTGACAAGAAATGTCGGATGTGTGATCGGGATATTCCTGACCCCAGCAAAATTGAGGAATGTAAGATATGCATGAAAAGGGCATGTGAAATTTGCATTCCGAAGGCTACTCGCCTTTGTCCTGTATGTGCATTATCAATCGGTAGTTCTCAGGTTCCACAGCATCTTTTCGGAACTGGTGGCGGCGGGTACAGTAGCCACCATGATCCGAACTGTACAGCTGCGACTAAAGTGCATTTCCATAGACCTCCCGCCAGAGCCCGACGCGGCTGGGCTGAGGGTATGGATAGCCAATATGAAGGAAGCTGTTAGCAATGCCTACAGCTATGATGGACTTTACGTCATCAATTGGCTAACTGAAGTCGAGAAGGCAAAGACCTTTGATGAGCTGGACGGGGAATGTAAATACCAC